AAATGAAAAAAATTATGAGGTCTGGCTTCCACAAACTCATAAAATCATCATTACAGTGTGATAAATATTCCATATAAAAAGTCTCTTCAATACACATATTAAAGAATTAGCAATCAAACCTTCATATCCATATTGGCATATTTTATTTGCTTCAAGATACACGTATACATTTAATAATTCTACAAATTCAGTCAAGGGGATCCGCCCCCCCCCCCTCCCCCCCGCACTGGTTTACTTTTTTTCCTAAGCGGGGGACACAAATTCTCTGAATTAGCTTGTTAACTATCAAAGGATGCTTTCATATCAGTATATCCATCGGCTTTGTTATTCAGCAGATATATTCCTATTGACGGAATTAAATTTCTGATGAATATTTGTGCTCTTACAGTATATTCCTAAATATACCTTGGCTCCCCCACAGCAGCCCTCCAGGAGGTCCCGATTTGAACAAACTTTAATATACTCTACCTGAGGATGGTTCAATTTTTAAAATGACTAATATGCTTTTGCTAGTTCTGAGAAAAATGTTTTTCCTATGCAGTAAAACAGTTTATTGACATCATTCTATAATGAAATATCTGTGACCTAAATCAAATTAATCAGTCCTTTCACAATCAGAACATAAAAATATTGTAACAGATCCATCAAGTGTCGTGAAATATATCCATATAAAAATTTCGTTCAATTTACGTATTTCAAATTTCAACAGTTAACAGAAAAAAAAATCTCATTATAACACAGATAGAAAGAGATACTTTTTAAGCTATATCAAAGTTGAATTTACTTTTAATATCCATGCTTACTGTTGAAGAAAACTGTTTTTCTGACACATTTCCAGTCCTTTTTTTTATATATGAAATGTTTCACTGTATTTAAATGAATATTGCTGAGCTATCAGAAAATTTGATTTAAAACATTCTAAACATTGATTGACACCTCTTTTACCTTATCAATTAAGGATTTGTTGTGTTTTTTTTTTTAAATGAGAGATACTTGTTTGTATTTTTAGTCCTTTCTTAAAGATTTAGGGAAAAACTTTTAAAATGTATATGGCATGTATGCTAAGTTTTCTTCAGAAAGAGACATTTACTTATTTTCCTATAAAGGAGTAAAGACCCAATATTGCATACAGTAATAATAATGAAATGTAAAGAACAGCCTTCTAAATCAAGTAGTAAAAACACTGAGATTGTTACTGTATATAATGGATACTAGATAAAAGAAAGCAGAGATGTTTTATCTATTTAAAAAAACTAAAGATAGTCTTGTTAACAGAAACTTAGCAAACTATTTATTCTTTCAACTTCACTGTTTGGATGAAATTAAACTTTCACTTTTATATTTAAATCAATCAAAAAGTACATTTACATTCTTCCATTATCAGGAAAGAAAACATCTACATTTTATGAAGCAACATGAAAAATCACTGAAATCAATTCAAGAATTGATAGTATCTCCATGGGATTGAATTGTGTACTTTTAAAATAATTAAGTTGTTACATGTGCGTCTCTTCCCCGGCTTAACACATACATATATAACACAGTGATCTATACATATTATCACAAGGCAATGCACATTTATAAATTCTCACTTTTCAAACATGGCTTAAAAACAATATGCTATGTTAACTATGATTAAAATTAAAATTAGATTAACAAAAAGAAATTATGTCAAATCTGTATGTCCAACAATATACAAACTTAATGCACAGAATCAATAATGCACAGATTCAGTCTTTGAAGTTTCTGTGGCAAGCACTTTATCTATTTTTATCTCCCCCAGAACAAATTCCTGGGAATCAGAACTGACGGCACCAATGTCTACAGAAATCATCTGTTCTTCAGAAAGTAAAAAAGTACAGTGTGAAGTCAATAAATAGTATTTCTTTGTACAATCACCGAGGAACCTAGGTCCCCTTATGATGTCAGAAATCAAATGATATTCTTCCCTTTATATTAAAGACACAGGGAGGGTCAGATAAAGCAGTGATGGTCTCATAATGAACATCCAACACAAAACTGGGAGTTCCAGGTGGGCGTGTCACACAACTGGGGTGTCAATCAGCTGCTAAACATGTGGTGATTACATCACCTAGGGGGGGTAACTCCTGTTTTTTAATGATAATGTATATTACAATAGAAGCCAGTGATAGTCAGGCTTGGTAATTGTAGGTGTCTTTATGCTCAGGCCAGGTAATTGAAATTTCTCAGGTCAGGTAACTGTAAGTGTATATATGAAACTTTTAATACTAGGCCAAACTGTATGTCCTATACTATCTGTAAGTGTATTGTACTTGCCAGGTAACTGTAGCTGTCTTAATATTCCAGTAACTGTATGTCTATACTTAAAATGCTTAGGAAATTGTAGTGTCCTTATCTCAGGCCATGTAAAATTATACTTCTAAAACTGTACTGTCTTTTAAGGAATTTCAAGGTAAAATCATAATGAGGTAATTTCTTTTTAAATAAAAGTCTTAATACAATAGGAACTGGTATCTTTGCTCAGGCCGTGTAACTGTATCTTTAAAGGTCCAGGTAACTGTAGTCTTTATACTCAGGCCAGGTAAGAACAAAACTTATACATAATGGCATGTAAACTAATGGTTTCTTCAAAATAGGGTCTTTATACTGAGGCCAGGTGGGATACTCAGGCCATAAAGTACGTGTCTTTAGCGAGCCATCCCCCTGTAGGTGTGCCACACAGGTCAGGTAACTGTAGGTGTCCTTAGACTCAGGCCAAGTAACTGTACTGCCAAATCAGTTAACTGTAGGAAAAAATCATGAAATGTAGAGAACTGCCTATCTCAACTCAGGCCAAGGTGTCCTTATCCTCAAGGTAATACAAATACACAGGCCAGGTTTGTACCTTTATAAACACTGATAAAATAAACAGATGTCTTTTACCAGAACTGTACTCAGGCCAAGTAACTGTAGGTGTCCTGAGGCCAGGTAACAACTTCACTGTTTGGATGATATAATAGTGTCTTAGGTAACTTTTTTTAATTTTTGTGACTTTATACTCAGGCCAGGTAACTGTAGGTGTCTTTAAAAACACAGGTAACTGAAGGTATCTGTATAAAAGTAACTGTAGGTGTCCTTAAAGGTAACATCTTCTAGGTAACTGGGTGTCTTCATACTCAGCAAAACTGTAAGGTGATTGTATAAAGTTGAACTGTAGGTATTTTTTTACTCATGCCAGGTAACTGTAGGTGTTAACTGTTCTCAGGGTGGGGTGTCACTCAGGCCAGGTAACTGATAAACTTTATACTAAGGCTATTACTGTAGCTGTCTTTATGTGTGTGTGTATACTTAGGCCAGGTAACTGTTTGTCTTTTATCAGGCCTAACTGTACATTCTTTATACTCAGGCCAGAAACATGCTTTATACTCAGGCCAGGTAACTGTAAGTGTCTTTATACTAAGGCTAGGTTACTGTAGCTGTCTTTATATTCAGGCAAGTAACTGTAGGTGTCTTTATACTTAGGCCAGGTAACTGTAGGTGTCTTTATACTCAGGCCAGGTAACTGTAAGTGTCTTTATACTCAGCTCGGAAAACTGTAGGTGTCTTTATACTCAGGCCAGGTAACTGTAAGTGTCTTTATAACATGGCCAGGTAACTGTTTTGTCAAATATATGTCTTTTACCATTTAATATCTTAAAGGTCTTTAAACCAGCCAGGTAACTGTAAGTGTCTTTATACTCAGGCCAGGTAACTGTAGCTGTCTTAATACTCAGGCCAGTAACTGTAGGTGTCTTTATACTCAGGCCAGGTAACTGTAGGTGTCTTTATACTCAGGCCAGGTAACTCAGGCCAGGTAACTGTAGCTCAGGCCAGATATCTGTACGTAACTTTATACTCAGGCCAGTAACTGTAAGTGTCTTTATACTCAGGCCAGGTAACTGTAAGTGTCTTTATACTCAGGCCAGGTAACTGTAGGTGTCTTTATACTCAGGCCAGGTAACTGTAAGTGTCTTTATACTCAGGCCAGGTAACTGTAGGTGTCTTTATACTCAGGCCAGGTAACTGTAGGTGTCTTTATACTGAGGCCAAGTAACTGTAGGTGTCTTTATACTGAGGCCAGGTAACTGTAGGGGTCTTTATACTCAGGCCAGGTATCTGTAAGTGTCTTTATACTCAGATCAGGTTACGGTAAGTGTCTTTCTGTCCTTCCACTCGCTCCAGATATTCCTTTTCAATCAATATGTCTATGCATTTCTGTCATAAAAAAGACAATTGATGTTTGTTTTTAAAACATTTGACAAAGCGGAAAAACTAGATACTTATTTGGGGAAGGAGCAAAGAAAGATATCTTGTCATGAAAATTTTTGACAAAGCGAAAGTACTTAGAAAGTAATTTGGGGGATCAAGGACGTGAAATGTCATTTTTTAAACTTTAATGCTTGTAGTGTTACAAAAGTACTATAAGTCTTATATCCATACTTTAGTGATAAATATACATGAATAACTATGCAAAAGTATGAATCAGTATATAGTTTAAGAAAATAAAACCTAAGTGATCCTTCATACTTATAAAACTGTTACATTTTTTTTCAGAAACTTCTTAAACTATTTCTTTGTTTATATGAATACAAAATACATATGTTAAAATATGTTAATAAAAATCCCACAAAACTGTTGAATTAAGTGTTGAAAAAAGTATTAAGATTGATAAGACTGATTGCAGAAAGGTTGAATTCTGAACATCAAAGAAAGTTTAATATTTCCCAGTAATTTAGAGATTGGCATTTACATCATTTACCTTTAAATTTGAAGAAAGTACAGTTTTGGCTTTATTGTGCCCTAAAACGTTTATGTTCTTAAACAGTTATAAATTGGCTGTAGCAAGAGTTGAGTAGAAGAATATGATTAATCGTGAAAGAATATGGCAAGAAGGAAGACCATTCTGGGAAAAAATTGACATCATTAATTTCATTTATTTCTAAGTTTAATGCAAAAAAGCCCCAGAAAGACTTATTTCTGTTCTTATTTTCCTTTAGGGAATACATGTAGTGTCTGCCACCGTCACCCACTTCAATTTTGGATGTATTATGTAGACTGCTTTGAAAAATCGCATATCTCAAAATCTTTTTGGGCGACGGTGGCAGAGTATGTTTCCTGAAATAAAGTTCACGGATGTCTTCTGCAACTTTTTAAGAAAATATGGGAAAATGCACAAATTAATGACCTCACAATTAGCATTTATGAAGTCATATGAGAAAAACGATTTGTGTATTCTTACTGCATGGAATTCCTACAATTCAGAAAGAATGAATTTCAATTTCGTATATCACATTCATATTTTAGAATAATACAGGGCTTAATTTGTACTGTACTATTGAAACTGTACCTTGTTCTTTCCCTTAATCGGTTTCTTAATTGATTGATTGATGTTTCACGCTGAATCGGCAATATTTCAGCCACATATCAGCGAGTAATAGGTTTCTTGAAAACAGGTTGTAAATACTGTAACATGTATCGAAAGCAGCTTGTTCATATCAAAGGTGTTTCTGTAATACTGGGACAGTTCGAACACCAGTGATATGCAGTGCTTTGTCCCTTTAGGGCAGGCTTCCGACAGAAAGTTACTCCACACTGCTTCATCATCCATTTGTCTTTAGAAATATAGTGAGATCAGTGCATCCAAACATGATACGACTTCGCCTTAAAACAGAGTCTGTCAATGTTGATTCATAGGACTACTCCTTTAGTTTGTCCTATGATGGTGAAAGAGAACACATTTTCAAAGACATGCTAAGCCGTACAGTAAAACATGCATGACGCCTGTTGAAAAATATGAAGAGAAAGAGCATTGGTCGACCTCAAAAAATCCATAAAAAATGCAAATTTGAGATGAGGAAAAAACACAGACCCCCTACAATTTTAGAGGTTGGATCAGTTAAAATTCCTAAAAGGAGAAAAAAGAATCGCCTGTCACCAGCCAGAAGAACAGTTAGGAAGACGGGACGTTCCACAGTCAAATTCATTATGATTAAAAAGGCCTAATAAATCATCGATATGAAACAAGTCAGGCGAAATATGACCCAATAATAGTTTAGTTTTGTGTTCAAGGTCATTATTAGATAAAAGAATGTACAGAATAGGTTGTCGACATTAAAATTTTTTGGTTGTTGAAATCCATGATAAAATGTTCACTTTAGAAATTTCCAAATCCCTGCAAGCACCTTTTGTCACATTTCAGAAAAGATGTTATATATATATATATATATATATATATATATATATATATATATATATATATATATATATATATATATATATATATATATATATATATATATATAGATCATTTTATGGTTTAAAACCTGATTAGGTATGGTGATAGCGGATATTTGGATACATGCATAATTAGGCAGGTGATAGTGAATTTCAATACATATTTGAGGCAAGCTGACGGTGGAAAAGTGGAGGTCCATCTTGTTTGTCTTACAGTTTAGTTGTGAGTTGCCTCTTCTTGTCTATACTCAGGAAAAATATAAAATAAACGTTGCATCCTCCGTGTTGTTTTTAATTTCACAAATTGCCAATTTTTATTTTTCTTAAAGCTCTTGGAGTTTTGAGATCCAACATCTTTTAGAGCATGCAGTTGCACAAAACTTCTAAGGTTTCTCCCCCAAAAGTAGTTTATATTTCTGTAAGGATTAAGGATTGGGTCTAAGTAAGCATTTGTTTTACTAAGTAATGTATCTCTATTTGTAAGGATATTTATGAAGTGTAGGAGTCCAGTAAAGATACATGTAGAATATATCAAACTTGCCTTTTTTGACATGAACATTAAAATATCTAAATACTGAAATGTGATTCTGAAGAAAAAAATCTTTAGAAAGTGAACTGCAGATATAAGTAAGATTTCAAAATGTAGGAATAAAACCGAAGTTACAATACAGTTTAAATGATAATCCTTGCAAACAAAGACGCTGCTGTTACATGCCTTGTTGGCTGGAACCATAACATTTTGTGATTTTTTCAGTACTTTGATATGCTCCTATTTAGTGAAAACGGGAGGATGGAAAGAAAAGTTGTTTTTAAGTAAGGGTATTTCGTAATCCAGACCCACTCTTTACATTCAATGAGCAATGGACTTACTAAAGTGTTTAACAGAGCTTAACTACTGCTTACTAATAGGATTAACAAAGCCTTTTTGTTTATGTATGGAACTTTTTAGAATTCCTAGAAAGCAGATAGGAAGCAAAATATTAACAGTCTGGTACATGCATAGAAATCTACAAAAAAAACTTAACGAATGTACACCATTTAATCTTGATGTTTGGGATAGAGCTGAAGTTTTCGGTGGATGTAAAAAGGACTGTCAAACTTATACTGAAAATAAATGTATAGTTAACAAGAAGTATGTGGGCAAGCCCAGGTATCTATAAAATCTTTCCAGCTGTAACGGAAATCTGAATATGACATCAGCTGTAACATACCACTTTTTTAATTTTAATTGTTAGATCATAATTCACACACTAAATTGTAGATACGGATTTTTCGTTATTTCCCGTAAGCACACGGCATGGCGGGTGTGACCGGTCGGCAAGGGATGCTCACTCCTCCGTGGCACCTGATCCCACCTCTGACGTTTTGGTGGTCTGTGTTTACTCTGCTCCTGATTTCGTTATCTCCTTATATTTTAAGATAAACCTGGCAAACAATGGAAGGATGTGCAATATAAAATTCAATCTCAACCGAAAGTGGAGATTCATATCTCTTTGTCGAGACGGGGGCGGGGTTGAAGGACGATAGAGAACTCCATATCATACCCTATTATTTCTATATTCTAAATTTACGTCTTATTCCTTATATCTCCTTTCATTCTAAAACTAAATATCATTTGTTATGTAGAGACATTTCCATAAATAATCTGACTTGACAAAATGCCCCCCCCCCCGTTTCTAGAATTAAACGGTCCCCTAAAAACCCCTAAGAACAATAGCAATTTGTTCTATATCTTTTTCGAGTCCTTTATAAAATTGAATAGAAAAAGTTTGTAAAAAATTGATCTGAAACAAAATCCATTTTTTCTCTTTGCAATAACGCATAATCGTTTTTGAAACGGGGTGGGGTCAGCTTACTTGAAAAATTACCAAGGAGGTGGGATGGGGTATGCTCCCAACCCCATCAGTATCATTATTTTACTCAAACATACTATTCATTACTCTTATTTCACAAAAAGGGGGGCAACGGGACTTTAGGTTATGACTGCAAAAATGTTAAGTGTCCGATGGCATTACTAGAATTTCAATCAAATGTTGTTAACTAGATTTTAAGCCTCGATAGAAATCACGCAATGGAAAAATCTTCTCTTCACAAACAAATCGTATTTTTCTCATTTACATATATTGAGATGTTGCTGCTAAATTTCGCTATAATTCCATTTGAATTTCGATTATGCTTTGTATATTTCGAGATGTTGTTTGTATATATCGCAATTGTCAAACCCCTTCATACACATAGATTTGTTTTACATATAGCCTTTATTTGGCATACATATGGTTGACACAGAAATTTTGTTTGTCAGGTAACTATAACACACCTGTCACGTGACAACAAGCTACCAGGAAGAAGAAATACAAACCGAAAGTTGTACGAAAGGTTAGCTGAAATACTTCAACAGAAACACCTAAAACTATGAGTATGTATTTATTACTAGTTCATTTTAATAGTTACAACGTATATATTTCTCTCTCTCTCTCTCTCTCTCTCTCTCTCTCTCTCTCTCTCTCTCTCTCTCTCTCTCTCTCTCTCTCTCTCTCTCTCTCTTGCACCTGGTCACAAATAATCTGTACAATGAATTAAAAAAACGCGATGGTAACAATTCAGTGGACTGATACGGATATACATGTATTCCAATTAGGATTCAATTAATATTATAAATTATTAATACAGTCATTTCACGTTTTTTTATTCTTAAAGGTGGTGGAGTTTTTTACTAAATGTTTACCCAAATAATTTGCCGATATATAGTATACTACAGAAAACATTGGCTTTATAAATATGCTCGTACCCACCTCAATTAGAACGTCTGATAATCCCTTTTTTTGCTTGTCAAGAAATATTTGGAAAGAAAGATATGGAGATAACGAACAGTATACAAAATCCATAAAACAATACAATTTAAGAGCAGAGCAAACACGGACCTTCGATTGAAACATCAGAGGTGGGATCAAGTGCCATGCACAGGTATAGTTTCCATAGAAATTTTGCCCTGCGGTTTTCTAAAAAAAAAATTAAACTGGTGTAAAAGTTGAAAACTCATGCTTTCTGCAATTCATTGCAGAAAAATCTTTTTTTTTTGTATCCTTAAATATTTCTAAACATCCAAAGCAGTCCCCATAAAGATTCAAACAAAGTCCTTTGTGTGTAATTTCCTAACTGTAATTGTCAGTGTAATACTAACCTTAATTTGTAGCATTGAACTTGAAGTCTGTTACACATATTTAATTCAAAAATAAAAAAAAAATTATGTATTGCTTCTTTATTTTAATTATCCTGTTATTTTTCAGATATAATTACAATGTAGGAAAAGAAATGGCCACTGCCACCAGCCAGGCACAGGAACTCATAACCTGTGACCTTTGTGTCAAACCTGTCCAGCAATTCTGTAACAGCTGCCAAGTCGGTCTGTGTGAAGACTGCATCAACAAACATGTCAAGAGCCTCAAGTCCATGAAGCATGACATTGTTCCTTTCACAAAGCGTACAGTACAGCTTGTGTTCCCTCAGTGTACATCTCATTCCCACCAGAGATGTGAGGCCCACTGTCAACAGTGTGATGTCCCGGTCTGCATCAAATGTCTCACTGGTCAACATAAAGGTCATGTTTTCGAGGACATGGATAAAATCATAGCTATGAAGAGAGAAAAAATTAAACAAGAAACTGGAGAAATTGAGGGCATTATCCTGAAGACCACAAGACAGGATTCAGACACTGAAAACAAAATTTCCCAATCCATGGCCCATTATACAGATTTACAGAAACAGACCAATGATCATAGAAAACAATGGCACCTAGAGGTGGACAACATCTTTAACAAAATGGAATCCCTGATCCAGTCACTCAGAGATCATCATATTACAACTCTAAAATCATGCCAGTCCAAACTCAGAAGTCAGAATTCCAGTATGATCCAAACTGTTCAAGAAAACAAAGAAATTCTGAAGTCCAACAAAGTGTCTGATGTCAACAACTACCAATCCAAACTGAAGGAATACAGGAACATTCCACAAATACCTGATTTACCATTGCCCTCTCTTCAAACAAACACAGTCCAAGGGAGAGAACTCAGCATAGAATTAGGAGAATACAAGGCTACACTGACACAGACATCACTATCCAGTCTGACAGATGAAGTCTCCTTTTTATCTGTTAAGGAATTATTAGAAGAAGCCAAAGTGATTGCAAACATTCCAACAAATGTTAAAAATCTTGGTAGAGTGGCCTGTATAGGATCAGATAAAGCTTGGATTAGTGGCCAGGACAAAAAGGTAACCTGTCTGGACATACATGGAGCTGTACAAGACACTGTCACCAGTACATGTGACCTCTTCCCTGATGACATTACAGTGACCAGACAGGGAGAACTGATATACAGTGATGCTTACAATAGAACTGTGAACATTGTCAGAGATGGGAAGACAGAGACACTGATCACCACACCAAGGGGCTGGCATCCAGATGGACTGTGCTGTACCAGGTCAGGGGACATCCTAGTTAGTATGTGTACTACTGATAAAAGTCATCGTAAAATAGTCCGTTATCAGGGACAGAGAGTGACACAGGAAATAGATAAAGATGAACATGGGGATCCAATCTATCAAGGAGGAAAATATGCAGTGTATGTGGTGGAGAACAACAATGGAGACATAGTGGCCTCTGATTGTAATGCTGACACAGTGGTAGTGGTGGACAGGACAGGAAAAGTCAGATTCAGATACAACGACAAATCTCCAGGGCGAAAGGAATCGTTCTGTCCTGGTCAAATAGTGACAGACTCCATGGGTCACATCATTGTGGCTGATCAGTTCAATGACTGTCTACACATCCTAGATCAGAATGGACAGTTCCTGAGATGTGTGGATAATTGTGGACTAGAGGATCCTTATGGACTGAGTGTGGACAGTGAGGGGAGGTTGTGGGTAGGGTTGTATCATTCAGGGGAAGTGAAAGTCATCCAGTACATGAAATAAACATCAAACATTCACATGTTAGGAATTGTTTATAGCCTGCATTTATCAAACAAATTAAAATTACAATTTTCAAATAACTTTTATCTTTTGTATCAACTCAGGATCTTTCAGTATGAAATTACCTGTACAAAAAAATTATAATTCTTTCTATGTTTGTGATAAAATTGACACATGTACTTGAGTAAAGAATCAAATACATGTATATTCATTGAAGTACCGGTATTTAAGGAGGCTTTAGAATTTGTTGTTAAGTTTATTTAATTGAAAAAAGAGGCCTATTGGTGACAGAGCTCATCTGCACAAATAAAGAACAAATCAGTTCAGTGTTGAAAAGTGTACAGAGTAGAGGGTAAGTGAGGCTTGAATTTTTAACTACCTGAGGATGCTTTCATATCAGTATAACCAATGGCTCTAATATTCAGCAGAATTTTAAGATTTTTTCCTATATATATTCCTATGAACAAAATCCAATCTTCCATGAATATTTGTGCTTTTACAGTATATATTCCTATATAAATCTTTGATCCCCAATAATGGCCCCATCCTAGTAACCCCCAGGAGGTCATGATTTGAACAAACATTTATCTTCACTACCTCAGGATGCTTCATTTTTTAAAATGACTTATGCCTTTGCTAATCCTGAGAAAAAATATTTTTCCCTATACATATTTCATTACATGTATGTAATACTTTGATCCCCATTGTGACCCCACCCTACCCCTGGGGATCATTGTGCATTAATTGAGATAAGATGAAGAAGCCAACAGTTTATTGACATCATTCTATAATGCAATTTAATATCTGTGACATTCTAAATCAAATTAATCAGTCCTTTCACAATCAGAACATAAAAATATTGTAACAGATCAATCAAGTGTGATACTGTCTATGAAATATAAATCTGTATTTATCAAAATCAAGTGTGATACTGTCTATGAAATATAAATCTGTATTTATCAAAAAAGGTCTATTTCAAATTTTAACAGTTAGGTCTTAAACAGAAAAAAAATCTCATTATAACACAGATAGAAAGAGATACTTTTTAAGCGTGTATCAAAATCAAAGTTCACTATTTATTTTTAATACTCATGCTTACTGATCAAGAAACCTGTTTTTCTGACACATTACCAGTCCTTTCATTATATATGAAACGTTAAAATAAAAAAAGCTATCTCCTGTTTGCCCAATACTGAATATTCAAGCTGAGCTACATCAGAAAATTTGATTTAAAACATTCTAAATATCTGATACACCTCTTTTATTCCAAAAATTCTTTTCATCAATTAAGGATTTTTTTTTTCATATATGAAAGATACTTTGTTGTTAAAGTCCTTTGCTAAAGGGTTAGGGGAAAAAAACTTTTAAAACGTTAATGGCATGTATGCTGTTTTCTTCTGGGACATTACCTTATTTTACTTACAAAGGAGTGAAGACCCAATAGAATTTGTACAGCTAATAATAATGAAATGTAAAGAACAGCCTTAACTTGTTACCAAGTAGTAAAAAACTGAGCTTGTTACTGTTTATAAAATGTTGATCACCCATTTTGACCCCACACTACCCTTGGTGTGATGGATTTGAAAAAAATCTCAAGATGTCTAATACCATGTAAATTTACAATTCCTTAAAAAAATCTCTTTTGTGGTTACTTAAATAAGCCAAGTCTTGCATTGAAAAATGGAACAGATGGTAATTTTTTTTTCTGATAAAAATACTAAACTGCTGTAAACCTCTATCATTTCGAAGAAAAATATTGATTAAAAAAAAAAAGGAAAAGGAATACAAGTTTAAAATTAATTTCATTTTGTTTCCAAATATTTGTTGAAAAATTCTCCTTTTCCTCTCTCATAATATCAGGATATTTTATTGATTCATTCTGTATTTTTCACTATACATTACACGTAACTGATAACATAATAGATACCCCCCCCCCCCAACACACACACACACACAAACTGAAATACAAAATACCTTATCATTCATCAATAATGTGTATTTATTTTAAGAGAGAGCCAAAGTTGATTGACATCATTCTTATAATACAAGTTAATATCTTTGAATTCTAAATCAAATTAATTTCACCTCCCCTCACAATCAGCATAAAAAATTCTAACAGAAATGAAAACAGTGACACTGTCTATTAAATAGAGAGAAAAATTCTGCCCTGAAAAAGCAGAAAAAAAGATTTTTTTTTGTTCATTGTCCAAAATCCTTAAACACTCCCATTTACCCTACTTTAACCATTGGCGTCGGCAGCAAATTGTAATTTGTAATTGAAATATTTAATATTTTTTATTCCTTCAAAAAGAAAAAAAAATGACAGGCAAAAAAGGAAATAAATATCTGCAACAGAAAATCCATTTCAAGTATTGGGTGATTAGTTTATCGCATTTTTTTCCAAACAACAAGTTTCCACACTTTCTACATTTATTTGTTACTGAATAAAACATGTGTGAAAGTGGTCTATAAAGGGGGCTTTAAAAACAATCAAGTATGATCTGTATATATTCTATCTTTGGATAAAAAGTGTGATACTGTCTATGAAATATAAATCTGTACTTATAAAAGTTAACTGCAATACAACATGAAATATAAATGGGGAAGGGGCTTATTTACGCCCCAATATATAAGTCATCTTTCAAATTTTAACAGGTCTTACATGTACATCAGAAAAAAATCTCACTATAAAAGATTTACACACAGATAGCTTTAAAGCATTTTCAGAGATCACTTTGTTTTAAAAATAATCATGTAACTTTCAAGAAACCTGTTAATTTTGCAAAAAGAATAGTTTAAGAGAAAGAGATCATAACCTAACATTTATTTTTTCCTTTATCAAAGTGTTTAATCAATCAAGTCTAGAAATATACAGCGTTTAAAAGCAAACTTTAATCTTGTAGAACAGCCATTTCTTGTTCCTGTGAAAAACCCTGTACGCGTTGATAATGGATACTAGATAGCCCTCCCCCTCTTTCTTGCAAAGATAAATATTAAAATTTGGGTTTAAAAAAAATTAAGAAAGCCTTGTTAGCAGATACTTAGCAAGGTGTGTATTCCATCAACTTCACTGTTTTGAAATAAACTATACTTTCACTTTTTCATTTTAAATTCATCGGAAAAAAACATATATATTTTATCCAGCAACATGAAAATTCACTGAAATCAACTCAAGAATTGAGAGTTTTTCCATGGGATTGAATTGTGTACTTTTAAAATAATTAAGTTGTTTTGAACTTTGATTAAATCTTCCCTGTTAATCACACATCAAATATAATTTACAAGTTTGAGATAAAGAGGTTTTACAAGGCAATGCAATTATATAATTATATATTTTCAAACATGGCTTAAAAACAAATTGCTATTTAAGAATGATTAAAATAAAAATTAGAGAGAGAGAGAGAGAGAGAGTAATTATATTTCACACATCTTATTCCAAAAAAAAACAAATTTTAATGCACAGAATTTTATACATCAAAAAGAATTATATAAGGGTAAGCAACTTATATGTTTTTATTAAAAAAATCAGATACAATAAAAGGTTAAAAACAATTTGTAGGCTTTTGGAAATTTAACCAGATGCTTTTTTAACATCGTTAGAGATTTTCTCATACCTCGAAATTAAAACGATCTAGTACTTGTAAATAATAAAACATGATTACACAATTAAAATAGCAGAATCCAGGTCATATTGCTTGAAAGCGTACTTAAAACTAATTGAGGGGAATGTATTGATATAATTTTGCAATTCTATTTGCATTGAAATTAGATTTTCTGTTCTTTTCGACAAATTTTAAATCAACAAAAATGAATTTACAAAAAAAATTGCAGGAAAGAAATGCACATTTTATGAAGCAACATGAAAAACCACCAAAATCAAATGGGTTTGAATTGTGTACTTTTAAAATAATCAAGTTGTTACATGTGCGTTTCTTCCCTGGCTTCATACATACAAATATAACACAGTGATCTATACATATTATCACAAGGCAATGCACATTATAAATTCTCACTTTTCAAACATGGCTTAAAAACAATATGCTATGTTAACTATGATTAAAATAAAAATTAGATTAACAAAAAGAAATTATGTCAAATCTGTATGTCCAACAATATACAAACTTAATGCACAGAATCAATAATGCACAGATTCAGTCTTTCAGTTTCTGTGGCATGCACTTTTCTATTTTCATCTCCCCCAGAACTAATTTCTGGGGGTCAGAACTGACGGCACCAAAGTCTACAGAAATCATCTGTTCTTCAGAAAGTAAAAAAGTACAGCGTGAAGTCAATAAATAGTATTTCTTTGTACAATTGCTCACCAAGGAACCTAGGTCCCCTCTGATGTCAGAAATCAAATGATATTCCTCCCTCTGTATTAAAGACACAGGGAGGGTCAGATAAAGCAGTGATGATCTCATAACGAACATCCAACACAAAACTGGGAGTTCCAGGTGGGCGTGTCACACAGCTGGGGTATCAATCAGCTGATATAAACATGTGGTGATTACATCACCTAGGGGCGGTAACTCCTGTTTTGTATTAATATTGTACATTAAGATAGAAGCCAGTGATACTCAGGCCAGGTAACTGTAGGTGTCCTTCTGTCCTTCCACTCGCTCCAGATATTCCTTCTCAATCAGTATGTCTATGCATTTCTGTCATAAAAAAGACAAATTATGTTAGCACTTAAAATATTTGTATCTAGCCATGAAAATTGACAGAAGATCAAAAGACCTAAATAGTAATTTGGAGAAAGGAGCAAAGTGGTCTTAGTTTAAATCATAGGTATTCTTTGTTTGAAATAAGAATTATTTTTACCTTTGAAATATTTGGTTATACATTCCTTGTCTTTGCTTGTCAAATATTTTTCATTGAGAGATTTGTTTACATATCTGTAATTTTATTAGAAATAAAGATACTTCTATTATATAAAGAAAAAACAAAATGTAAACATGTCCAACAAAATCTCTTAAGAAAGAGGTGTCCTTTAAACAAACGTTTTAAAAAAAAAATCATGACAATATCTTGTAAACTTTGAATGTAGATTTTTTAAAACATTATACACCCCGCTTGTGGGAGTGGTAGGGTATATGGTGATCAGGGTGTCCGTCTGTCTGTCCGTACGTCCTTCGGTCCGTCTCTCTGTACTTTCGTCCATCCGTTACGCTTTGGGGTACTCATCTCTTATCCGTAAATCCTCTCATATCACTAAATGAAATTTAATGGGACTTTCACAGAATATTTAATACGTAGTACCATTGTGCACCTCCTATTTTACTTTTGATCTGACAGTTATTTCAGGCTTACTAGAGCAAAACATTTATAATCATGCCATTATAATCATATAAAAGACGTGGGATATTATTTAGTGAGCTCAGTGCTCACACTTTCAATTTGTTTCCTAGTGCCTGAGCGAATTGTAAGGAATATTTCTTCATATCCCATATATTTAAAACATAGAAAATTTGCTTTTACAGATAAGCTTACAGTGATGAAACATAAATTGTGTTTTTTTGATTAATTTTTATTCCTTTGAAAACACCTTTTATTTACAGATCTGATGTTTCGGGGGTTTAGGATAATGCAGCTCTGCCTTTGAATTTGTGAGTCTCTCGGTGTCGATTAATTGAATTTCAGTAGGTACTTGATTTCATTACCTGCCAATCAGGTGAACCTGGAGGACAGAAAGGTAGTACAATAATCCCAAGGTTGTTGTCATTAAAGGAACTAAACTGCCATACTTCAGGGGGAAAGAAAATCTAAAACCTTTTATTGAGATAAGTATGTATTTATTACTTGATAACTTAAAAGTAACAGCTTTTTATTGGAAAAATGTCATCGCCCCTTCTCTTACGTCAATGTGAAACATGAGATTCGCTTATAATTATTTTTCTAAGCATTGTTCTTAATTTTAACAAATTTAAATTAAAGATCTTTCGATATATGTATTGGAATATATACAATTATTTTTTATTGGCACAAACAAAATTACAAATTGATTCAAAATCATAAACAATTATCTTGCAATAATCAGTTTTCATGTTAAAAAAGATTTTAATTTGAAAACGAGATATTATATGTGAAAACGACAAATTATCTTGTGAAAATCAAAGGATTTGCTGCATTTTATTTGAATGCAATACGCGGATATTATCATCTCATTAATATATATTGAGATGTTGCTGCTAAAATTCGCTATAATCGATTCCATTGGAATTTCGAATATGCTTTATATATTTCGAGTGTTGTTTTTATATTTCGCAAACCCCTTTATAGACATATAGTTTTGTTTTACAGATAGCCTTTATTTTGCATACATATGGATGACACAGAAATTTTGTTTTTCAGGTAATTATAAAACACCTGTCACGTGACAAGCTACCAGGAAGAAGAAATACAAACCGAAAGTTGTACGAAAAGATAGCTGAATACTTCAACAGAAACTTCTAAACCTATAAGTATGTATTTTCATTTTTAACTACTTCTTTGTAATGGTTACAACGTATATATTTCTTTTTTTCCTCCCTCTCTCTCTCTCTCTCTCTCTCTCTCTCTCTCTCTCTCTCTCTCTCTCTCTCTCTCTCTCTCTCTCTCTCTCTCTCTCTCTCTCTCTCTCTCTCTCGCACACTTCACCTGATCACAAATACCATCTGTTTATGGAATGAAAAAACACTGTTTTAACAATTTGTCACGATACAGATATTCAAAATAATTTTTAAAATAATAATAATTCCAATATTTTTCAATTGTTAAATGCTGGTAAATTTTTTTTACAGTTTTAGCTTTCCCCCCCAATAATTTGCCTATATATGTACAAAAGAACTTGTTGGCTTTATAAATATGAAAATATTAGAACATCATAATCCCTCTTTTTTGCTTGTCAATGAAATATTTACAACGAAAGACATGGAGATTGTTTATATTAAATATCAAAGTCACATAAAACAATACAAATTAGGAAAGTATTAATTGAAGTCTGAAACATTACATGAGATCTCAATGAACTAGGTATGGTTTCCATAGGAACCGATTATTTGAAAATAATTCTTTTAAAAGCCAAAAAATTTTTTGAAATTTGCAGAAAATCATACACAATCATTTTTTTTTGTAATAAATACAGGATAATACTAGTATGCAGTCTATTAATGATTGTCTTTTGTGTTATTAGAACTGTAATTCTCAGTGTAGTACTAATTACTAAACTTAATTTGTAGCATTGAACTTAAAGTCTGTTACACATATTTACAAAATTTATGAATTGCTTTTTTATTTTAATTATCTTGATATTTTTCAGATATAACTACAATGTAGGAAAAGAAATGGCCACTGCCACCAGCCAGGCACAGGAACTCATAACCTGTGAACTTTGTGCCAAACATATCCAGCAATTCTGTAACAATTGCCAAGTCGGTCTGTGTGAAGACTGCATCAACAAACATGTCAAGAGCCTCAAGTCCATGAAGCATGACATTGTTCCTTTCACCAAGCGTACAGTACAGCTTGTGTTCCCTCAGTGTACATCTCATTCCCACCAGAGATGTGAGGCCCACTGTCAACAGTGTGATGTCCCGGTCTGCATCAAATGTCTCACTGGTCAACATAAAGGTCATGTTTTCGAGGACATGGATAAAATTATAGCTATGAAGAGAGAAAAAATTAAACAAGAAACTGGACAAGTTGAAGGCATTATCCTGAAGACCACAATGCAGGACGTGGACACAGAAAACAAAATTTCCCAATCCATGGCCCATTATGAAGATTTAAAGAAAAAGACCAGAGATAACAGAAATCAATGGCACCTAGAGGTGGACAAAATCTTCAACAAAATGGAATCCCTGATCCAGTCACTCAGAGATCATCATATTACAATTCTACAATTATGCCAGTCCAAACTCAGAAATCAGAATTCCAGTATGATCCCAACTTTTCAAAAAAACAAAGAAATTCTGAAGTCCAACAAAGTGTCTGATGTCAACAACTACCAATCCAAACTAAGGAAATACAGAAACATTCCACAAATACCTGATTTACCATTGCCCTCCCTTCACACAAACACAGTCCAAGGGAGAGAACTCAGTATAGAATTAGGAGAATACAAGGCTACACTAACACAGAAATCACTATCCAGTCTGACAGATGAAGTCTCCTTTTTAACTGCTAAAGAATTATTAGAAGAAGCCAAAGTGATTGCAAACATTCCAACAAATGTTAAAAAATTACAGAGAGTGGCCTATGTAGGATCAGATAAAGCTTGGGTTAATGAAAACAAAATCATAACCTGTGTGGACATATATGGAGTTGTACAAGACACTGTCACCAGTACATGTCGGAAAGTCCCTAATGACATTACGGTGACCAGAGAGGGAGAACTGATATACAGCAATTATAGCCATAGAACTGTGAACATTGTCAGAGATGGGAAGACAGAGACACTGATCACCACACCAAGGGGCTGGCGTCCAGAGAGACTGTGCTGTACCAGGTCAGGGGATATCCTAATTAGTATGTATACTACTGGTGGCAGTCATTATAAAATATTTCGTTATCAGGGACAGAAAGTGACACGGGAAATAGATAAAGATGAACATGGTAATCCAATCTATCAAGGAGGAAAAGATCCAGTGTTTGTCGTGGAGAACAACAATGGAGACATAGTGGCCTCTGATCTTAATGCTAGAGCAGTGGTAGTGGTGGACAGGACAGGAAAAGTCAGATTCAGATACAACGACAAACCTCCAGATGGAAAGGAACTATTTGCTCCTGGTCAAATAGTGACAGACTCCATGGGTCACATCATTGTGCCAGATCAATTCAACAACTGTCTACACATCCTAGATCAGAATGGACAGTTCCTGAGATGTGTAGATAATTGTGGACTAGGGCTTCCTAGTGGACTGAGTGTGGACAGTGAGGGGAGGTTGTGGGTAGGATTGTATAATTCAAGGGAAGTGAAAGTCATCGAGTATATGAAATAAACAGCAAACATTCACATCTTATGAATTGTTTTAGCATGCATTTATCCAACAAATAAAAATTACAATTTTCAAAATAATTTTATCTTTTGTATCAACTCAGGATCTTTAAATTTATATATGTATCAAATATGGCTGTACAAAAAAATTATTCTTTCTATATTAAAAAAAAAATGAGATAAAATTGACACATGTACTTGAATAACGAAGGAATCAAATACATGTATACTCATTGAAGTGCCGGTATTTAAGGAGGTTAGATCCTGCAATCAAACTTCAGAATTTTTTAAGTTTATTAAATCAACAAGAAACTAAAGGCCAGTTGGCAACAGAGCTCGTCTGCACAAAAAAAGAACAAATCAGTTCAGTGTTGAAAAGTGTACAGAGGAGAGAGGAAGAGAGGCTTGAATTTCTAGCTACCAGGATGTTTTCATATCAGCATAACTGTCTTTGTTATTCAGCAGAATTTTAAGATTTTTTCCTGTATATATATTTTAATGAAATCCAAACTCCCCATAAATATTTGTTCATTTACAGTATATTCCTATATAAATCTTTGATCCCCTATAATGGCCCCATATACTAACCCCCAGGAGGTTGTGATTTGAACAATCGTTTATCTTCACTACCTCAGGATGTTTCACTTTCTAAAACTACTAAGGTCTTTGCTAATCCTCTGAAAAAGTATTTTCCCTATAAATACATGTATTTCATCACATGTATGTCATACTTTGATCCCCATTGTGACCCCACCCTACCCCTGGAGATCATTGTAAATTAATCTGAGATCCAAAGGATTCTTATCAATAGAAAAAACAGTTTATTGCTACATCATTTTTAATGCAATTTAATATCTGTGACATTCTAAATCAAATTAATCAATCCTTTCAAAATCAGAACATAAAAATATTGAAACAGATCAATCAAGTGTGACACTGTCTATAAATATTGTAACAGATCAATCATGTGTCATATGAAATATAGATCTGTATTTATTGAATAAAAGTCGATTTAAAATTTTAACAGTTGGGTCTTAAACAGAAAAAATGTCATTATAACACAGATAGAAAGAGATACTTTTAAGCGTGCATGAATCAAAAGTACATAGCTAAATTACTTTTAAAATCATGTTTTCTGACCAATGAACCTGTGTTAGGGTAATGTACACATTTTAAGTCCTTATTATACAAGAAACGTTTAATTTAAAAAACTATCTATTGTTTGCCCAATACTGAATATTCAAGCTGACTTACTTCAGAAATTTTGAATTCGAACATTTTAAAATGATACTCCTCTCTTATTCCGAACATTTCTTAAATTCAAATCATAGGATTTTTTTTTTAAAATGAAAGATAAATGTTTGTATTCCAAGTTCTTTGTTAAATGTTTAGAGAACAAAACTCTTATGTTTATGGCATGTATGCTATAGTTTCTTCTAAAAAGGGACATAACATTCTTTTCCTTATAAAGGAGTGAAGACCCAATAGAACCTGTACAGCTAATAATAATGAAATGTAGAGAACAGCCTTCTCTTGTCACCAAGTACAGGTAGTAATAAAAATACTCAGCTTGTACTGTTTATAATGGATACTAGATAACATAAAGCAGAGATGTTTACCTATTTAAAAAAATTAAATGATAAATTTGTTACCAGATACTTAGCAAAGTGTTTTTCCGTCAACTTCACTGTTTGGATGAAATTATACTTCAACTTTTTAAATTTTTCTGAGACAAATTACATGTACAATTTCTGGTATGCAAGTACTTTCAGGAAAGAAATTCCAACATTCTATTTTTTTTGATGCAATTTTTAAAAACACTGAAATAATTGAAGTATTGAATTACATATATTCTTACATGGGGTAGAATTTGTGCAAAACACATCTCACTGTGCATTTTTTTTAAGATGAAGGAGAAAGTTAATTGACATCATTCTATAAAGCAATTTAATATGGTGACAGCTGCAAATGTAATCAGCTCCTTTCGCAAACAGAACATAATAATATTTAACAGTAATTATGTGCTATTTTGAAATATAAATCTGTATTTATCGAATAAAAGTCGATTTAAAATTTTAACAGTAAGGTCTTAGAACAGAAAATCTCACAACACAGATAGAAAGAGATACTTTTTAAGCATGGAAGGATCAAACTTCACTATTTCGCTTATTTTTCTGTTGTTTTATGTCAACATCCAATCCTTTTTATATATGAAATGTTAAAATAAAAAAGACCTTGATAGATTGAACAAATATTTTAGTACAGCTAATCAGAAAATTTAGTTTTAAACTATAAAGCGGATCTTTTTGGAATTTCCTTTTTTTAAATAAATATCTCTGCTTGCATAAAAATAACAGATAAAATGGTTTTATATACTTTGTTAATGTTTTTGTGATGAAAAAAAGCACAAAATGTATAAACACCGATAATTGCTTTATTCAGTTGTTCTAAATTTCAAGCGAAAGTAGAATTTATACAGCGTTAACTGTAATGGCTGCTGAAGTAAACTACCAGGAAACATGCAGAGTTATTTTACTGTTTATAATGGATTTAAAAGAAAACAGAGATGTTTTATCTATTGAAAAAAATTATCGTCTTGTTAGCAGATACTTAGCAAAGTGTTTAAAAATAATTCACTGTTTGGATAAAACAGTCCTTCACTTTCTTATTTTAAAAAAAAATATTTGCACCATTCTTTCATCTATCGAAAATATCTACATTTTTCAGAAAGCAACAAAAAAAAATCATTTCAAGAAGGGCTAGTTTCTCCATGGGTAGAATTGTGTACTTTTAAAATAATTAAGTTGTTACATGTGCGTTTCTTCCCTGGCTTCACACATACAAATATAACACAGTGATCTATACATATTATCACAAGGCAATGCACATTATAAATTCTCACTTTTCAAACATGGCTTAAAAACAATATGCTATGTTAACTATGATTAAAATAAAAATTAGATTAACAAAAAGAAATTATGTCAAATCTGTATGTCCAACAATATACAAACTTAATGCACAGAATCAATAATGCACAGATTCAGTCTTTGAAGTTTCTGTGGCAAGCACTTTATCTATTTTTATCTCCCCCAGAACAAATTCCTGGGAGTCAGAACTGACGGCACCAAAGTCTACAGAAATCATCTGTTCTTCAGAAAGTAAAAAAGTACAGCGTGAAGTCAATAAATAGTATTTCTTTGTACAATTGCTCACCGAGGAACCTAGGTCCCCTCTGATGTCAGAAATCAAATGATATTCCTCCCTCTGTATTAATGACACAGGGAGGGTCAGATAAAGCAGTGATGATCTCATAACGAACATCCAACACAAAACTGGGAGTTCCAGGTGGGCGTGGCACACAGCTGGGGTGTCAATCAGCTGATAAACATGTGGTGATTACATCACCTAGGGGCGGTAACTCCTGTTTTGTTATTATATTGTACATTAAAATAGAAGCCAGTGATACTCAGGCCAGGTAACTGTAGGTGTCCTTCTGTCCTTCCACTCGCTCCAAATATTCCTTCTCAATCAGTATGTCTATGCATTTCTGTCAGAAAAACCACAAATGATGTTAATACTTATAAAATTTGTATCTAGTCATAAAAATTGACAGAAGAGCAAAATAACTTACATAGTAGTTTGGGTGAAAGAGCAAAAAGGTCTTATACTTTAATTATAGGTGTTCTGAGTCTGAATTTAGATACATAATGGGGGAGGGAGTTTAAATACCTTAAATATTGGGAACAATTTAAACAATTATGAAGCTTGTGTTATATAAAATGCCAGCCTTCAATGAATGCAAATATCATGAAGGCTTGACCTTACCTTGAAACAAACAGCAGTTGAAGACAAAGGTTTTCATTAATCTTAAAGTGACAGATAAAGAAAAGCCTTACTAAATTTTCTGCAGCAGGCTAGATAATTAATCCCAAGGGATTAATTTACCACACTCATCATTTTCTTCTAAAGTTACAATAAGATCTTTTTCAGTGTTAATGATAAAATGGTTTTTTTTTACAACTATCCTAAAAATAATAATGTTCTTGAATGAACATAAAGTGAAAAAAGTAAATCAAAGAAGGATATGGAAATAACGAACAGTATTCAGTCTCAACGTCCATTAAACAAATATACAAAATAAGAGCAGAGCAAACACGGACCTCCGAAACATCAGAGGTGGGATCAGGTGCCATGGAGGAGTGAGCATCCCCTGCCGACCGGTCACACCCGCCGTGTGCTCGTTGTCATCATTAGGAAATAACGGAAAAAATCCGTGGCCAATTCAGTGTATAAATAATGGACTAACAATTGGTCTGAAAAACGTCAGTCAGCATTTCATTCAATGATAAATTGTATTTGCTGACAAGGTCATTGTATCGACCATAAAATTTACGAAATGATGACTTTAAACGAGACTGTTGATATTCTTGTTTCATCAACTTGCTTGTCAGTAATTTACCTCGTTTAAGAACTTGTTCATACGTAGAGCATGCTCTTGCGTATCGAATCAACTGAGATATAAATACTCCGTATGCAGGTGATGAAGGTATATTGCTGCATAAGTAAGGGAAGTTGACGATAGAAAAGTTAAAGTCATCACGTTTATCATATAGCTTGGTTGTTAGATTACCATTAGTGTCTTTTTCAAGTAAAATATCCAAGTATGAAGCAGAAGTGTCGGACTCTGTGGTATCTTTTATCTCAAGCTCACCAGGATATATCGTGTCGACGTAGGAATGGAAATTATCATTATTAATTGACAATACGTCGTCGATATATCTAAATGTCGAGTTGAAGGCCACAGCAAGTGTTTTTATCTTTTCACGTAAAAGATTTTGCATAAATTCTGCTTCATATGAATATAAAAATAAGTTTGCTAATAACGGAGCGCAATTTGTACCCATGGGAATTCCAATAGATTGTTGGAATACCTGGTCTCCAAAAGCCACATAGATATTGTCAATCAGAAACTCAAGCATCTTCTTGATGTCAACTTCAGAGTACTTATGTGTGCAATCAGAATCTCTTTTAACAAAATAATTTTTCAAATGACCAATGACGAGGTAAGTAAACTTACGAGTTCCATTTTTGTTGAAGAAGCAGCTGTCAATGATATCAAAAAGCCTGGATTTTAATTTGTCGTGGGGAATTGTTGTGTATAAAGTTGAAAAGTCGTAAGTTTTTATGCTGTTGATTTTTGTAAATTCTTGTGATTTCAAATTGTCCAAAAGTTCTTTAGAATTTTTAAGTATCCACATCTGATTTACACCACTTCTTGAATATATAGTTGTACAGTACTCTTGAAGTTTTTCCTTCACTACTGTCAATATTTTAGTGAGAAGTAACGAAAGAGGCTTGGTTGAACATTTACTGGAACCTGCAATGTATCTTTGTTTGTAAGGATTCTTATGAAGTTTCGGAATCCAATATATATAAGGTAGTTCAAATTCATTTTGGCTCTGTGGAATATTAAAAGTATTCAAAACTGACAGGTGATTTTGAAGAATATCTTCCTTAGAAACAGAAGTATATGTATAAGTAGGATTACCACTTGTAGAATTAAATCCAAGTTCTTCTAGAATGCAATTTATATAATGAGCCTTACAAACGAAGACAATGTTGTTACCTGCTTTGTCGGCAGGAACCAGTAGGTACTGATCGTGTAATCTATCTAATTCTTTTTTCACTTCTGGTTTATTGAACACAGAAGAATAGATGGTTTTCATTTTGCCCCTCAACCTTTTAATACGTGACTTTAACATGGATCTGATACATTTAACCCATTCTGACAAGGTGTCAATGTCTTCTTTAATCTATTTCTTGTTATTAGAATTCATTGAAATCATAACTATTAAACAAAAATAAATTATAAAAATTTATATTTAAATCCACATTTCAGAGTGTTCATAGCATTCCAAAATGACTTAACTTCAAAACAAACTTCATTTGTAGACAGAGGAGGTAATTTATCTCAATCTGACAGATAAAGAAAATGCTCTGGATTTTCTTCAGGAGGAAAGCTAATTAATCCCAAGGGACTCATAGCAACATTCAGTTTACAATGGGAACATCTTCAGCAGTTATCTCTCTTTGCCAATGCTTTCGTATGTAAAGTTAAGGAATCTACCCCACCACCCCAGCTCCAAACCAGGGGACATAGAGAACCAAACTTAGCATCAAAATATGTATCTCTGCCTACTGAACTACCATACCAAATTTGTACTTGATTGGGCAACCATAAAAAGTTATTAGAAAAAAACAGAAAATTTGTGGACGGAAGAGTGACAGACAGACAGACAGACAGACAGAGTGATTACTATAGGGCACCCGCAAATCCTTGCGGGGCCCTAATTATACATACTCTGAGTTTAAATTGAGTTAATATATAATGGTGGAGGGGGCTTGAATTTAAGGAAGATCTTACCTAATTATAGGTACTCTGGGTTTGAATCGGGAGGAGAGCTGATTCAGGACCTCGGCTAACAGCTGTTGATGCTTCAACACTTTCCTCATCTTCATTATACGTACTATAGCAGCCTGCAACACCGTCAAATAACACAGTTAAAACACAATACACAACAGCATCTAAGTGACATCCTTATTAAAGTTCTTTGTGTTTGTCTTCTGAGTCTATACGAGATAAAAATCCCAATCAGTTAATAAGTTATGTTCTGTACTGTTATTAATGAGTATGTGTACTGTTTTGATGACAGACTGTTCTGTTGATGAAAGATTGTTTCTGAGAACTGTCTTGTACTTGGGGCTGGGGGGTTACACTGACCTGTATAAGAAGCTTTCTGTCTTCCTCTATATGTTTGTGTGTGTGTGTGTGACTTTGTGTTGGGGGGTGGTGGTTAAGACTGACCTGTATAAGAAGCTTTTTGTCTTCTTCTATATGTTTGTGTGCTGTCTCCTGTTCCATTTTCACTTCTGTTTTCAGAGGCACATTTATATTTACACGTAATTTTTTGCTGCAATAATAAATGGTATAATTACTTTTTGCATGACAATTTAAATCATAACACCAAGCCACAAGCAATAACAATCTGAATACAGTAAAACTCAGTTATAACAAAGTCACTGGGACCTATGAAATTATTTCTCTATATCTTTAATTCATTATATATGTATAAGGAATTTCTTAAATTTATCCAGCTGGGGACTCAAGACAACTTAACTTTATCTGTGAATTCGTACAAATCTGTGTTCATACGAAGCCGAGTTTAACTGTATTTAGTACATCATACAAAAGATTTCCAAAGGACACACTCTCTGCTAGAGACTTGTATCGGGTTCTGAGGAATAATAAAACACATTCCCTGTCGACTAGATGCAATGGTTGTGAGTTTAATTGAAATATATGGAGCATATGAGATAAACAGTTTTTAATGTCACAAATCCATGAAACAATACAAAAAGGAACAAAGCAGTTACGGACTTCCAAGACATCAGAAGTGGGATCATGTGCCACAGAGGAGTGAGCATCCCTTGCCGACCGGTCACACCCGCCGTGTGTTCCTTGTTAAGATTGGGAAATAACGAGGAAATCTGTCGTCAAAAAAACTAATATGTATGAAAAATAAAAATAATGGAAATAATAAGCTTATAATTAGTATAAAAACCGTCGGTAAATACCATCAGTATTTAATATATTCAATTTCTTGATGGATAAGATAGATTTGTCATAAAATATTTTTTCTTCCTACACGTCTTATTACACTGTAATATATTTTTTTTATTTAGTGAATATCGCGCGGGAGAGGGATGAAATATTGCTATAATGGCGGAAGTGGACGGATGTTTTATTGTGCTAATGTTGCCCTTCTCTACTAACCGTGGTCCAGTCGATCATTAAATAAGAAGGTTTTGTGTGGCAAATAAATTCTCACACAATGGACAAAATAGCTTTACCAAGGTCCTTAGCATTTGGATTTCTTTTTCAGAGACTTTTTGTCAGCAACATTTCTGGTATGAAATTTATATTATCATTCTAACTGAGCAGAAAATGTATTTACTACGTACAAAAATTTTCTCTCCATTATTTTTTCATGGGGAGAAAGAGAGGGGAAGGAGAAAGAGAGAGAGAGAGTATTCATGCCATAAAATATATTTTATCATAGAACTTGTTAATTAATACGATACATAGAGCAACAAAATGACATTGTGTATTAAATCATGTTCAACAACGTACGCTACCGAAAACGACTCTATCGAATCTTAATAATAGAAACCATATTTTAATTATAGAAATCAAATTTTAATTACAGATATCTAATTTTAACTACAAAATGTTTATAAATGAATAAATTATAAGTACAGCTTTACAATTCGAAACATTATATTTTTACTGTAATGGGATAAATGGACATAACGAACAGTATTTAAGCACAAACGAACATTAAACAATACAAATTTTGGAGCAGAGCTAACAGAAACCTCCAAAGAGCATGGGTGGGATCGGTGCTTTGGAGGTGTAAGCATTCCCTGTCGACCAGTCACACCCAACGTGTGCTCCTTTTCGGGATCCAGAAAATAACGGAAAAAATCCGTCGACAACTCAATGTGTAAATACATGTAATGGACAACAGTCATCAGCTTGTTTGGAAATTCTCGATTTTAATTTAAAAGTACAATTTATATATATATATATATATATATATATATATATATATATATATATATATATATATATATATATATATATATATATATATATATATATATATATATATTCTCCAAATTCTTCATAGTTTATATGCATCGTTTTAATATAATAAGGTTTTACTTATATTTTGTTCATTTATATAAAGAAACAAGAACAAAATGAATTTAGTAAATAACATTCAGTTGAGTGTTAACATTAAATAAATTTATCACATTTTCATACACACGTGTTATTTTGTAAATTGATTTAAATGTTGTTGAAAAAGGATTTGTAACGAACTGTGGCCAATCTTTTTCTTACCTACCAAAAATTCATTAATTTCAACTTCTAAATCACTGGCTGAAAGTTAAACTAAATTCTGTAATTCAAAAGTGTTAATGCAAAGTTAAATTGTGAGAATTTTTAAGTGCAATTATTTTTTTACTATTTCATTTTTAATTTACTATTAATAATAATTGATTTAAATTACATGAAATACCAAGCACTTCAATAATGTACAAGAGGTGTACACAAATGTAACAATATAGTAAAGGGAAAAAGTATGATAAACAATTCAAAATGCAATTCGAGAAACATCGAAATTGTAAGTGAGTTAAGTGTTTAGTACTTACATTAAGTTTACTGGAAGTGTTTTTCTTGAGTAAAAGTGTCAACAGATCTCCGCCAAACTCTTTAATACCGGACAAATCGGACAAATTCATGGTCCTATGGCTGATAATCAAGTCTCAGAGACAAAATTGATTTCAGTGATGACAGAGCGCGAACTTTATACACAGTCTGAGAAATCAATGTAGTTAATTTCAGTAGAGTTGTTCCCCTTCTTTAATCCACTCTTCTCACCAGCAGCTCAGAATTAAGATTGTAGCCGAGGTGTAAAAGACGCCGGCTTTAATCGTGCGCTGGAACAGAGTAGACTATAGATATAAAATCTATCCTTTTTTGTTGTTATTTTGTTATTTCCGGTATTGCTTCTTAACAAAACAAAACTGTTTTCATCTCAACTAATTTGTCATGCTACAGATATCTAACTCTATGAATTATTATTGATACATAATATAATTATAAATTGATTGATATTGAGAATATTTTTATATTAGTTTATTTTTCATTTAATCAATATTATGAAACATTACAGATAACAACACACATGTATATTGCATGTCAAATAACATGGTATTGAAGAAAATTGAGGTTCATATATTAATATTATTTTGAGGTCTATTATTTAAAGTCAGTTCTTTTTTAAATGAAGGTCTGTTTGCATTCTGTAGGAAAAGGTGTTCCTTAATGATTTTTCATAGAGTTACTGAGGATTAAAGTTATATCAAAAGTCATTGTAAGACAGAATAATTAAAATGGAACCTAATCCTGTTATTTCTTTCTTTAAAAGAAGCATATGGGGCTGCTTTATGTTGTGTAAATGGTAAATAATACGACGTCCTTTTATAGCCCATCAAAGCAGGTTCAATATTAAATACTAGCGGATTGCATGATAGGTAGAGAGCACACGGTTCTGGAATATATCAAAACATAGATATTAATATCTATAATAAGAAGGATATGGAAATAACGAACAGTATTCAATCTCAACGTCCATTAAACAAATATACAAAATAAGAGCAGAGCAAACACGGACCTCCGAAACATCAGAGGTGGGATCAGGTGCCATGGAGGAGTGAGCATCCCCTGCCGACCGGTCACACCCGCCGTGTGCTCGTTGTCATAATCAGGAAATAACGGAAAAAATCCGTGGTCAATTCAGTGTATAAATAATGGACTAACAATTGGTATGAAAAACGTCTGTCAGCATTTCATTCAATGATAAATTGTATTTGCTGACAAGGTCATTGTATCGGCCATAGAATTTACGAAATGATGACTTTAAACGAGACTGTTGATATTCTTGTTTCATCAACTTGCTTGTCAATAATTTACCTCGTTTAAGAAATTGTTCATACGTAGAGCATGCTCTTGCGTATCGAATCAACTGAGATATAAATACTCCGTATGCAGGTGATGAAGGTATATTGCTGCATAAGTAAGGGAAGTTGACGATAGAAAAGTTAAAGTCATCACGTTTATCATATAGCTTGGTTGTTAGATTACCATTAGTGTCTTTTTCAAGTAAAATATCCAAGTATGAAGCAGAAGTGTCGGACTCTGTGGTATCTTTTATCTCAAGCTCACCAGGATATATCGTGTCGACGTAGGAATGGAAATTATCATTATTAATTGACAATACGTCGTCGATATATCTAAATGTCGAGTTGAAGGCCACAGCAAGTGTTTTCTTCTTATCACGTAAAAGATTTTGCATAAATTAACTAATTACCAACAAGACACGATTAGGAGAAAGATAAAGAAAGAAATGATGAGACCATAAAAAGATCGATGACATTTACTAATTAAAAGTGAGAATCGTATTCAAGTAAACATACTACAAACAAAATATGGAATACTGCATCGGTTAATATATTTAGACTATTTCTGTTGTAAGTGTTGCATTATATCAAGAAGAAATCCTATATACTTACCATAATATTTTGATGTCTTTCTTTTTTTCATCACCCCTGTAGCTTAACAGTTCTTTTCAAATTAGAGAACATTATTAAGAATCTTTAATTGAGACATGTACTTCATGCAGATGTGCATTTATCTTAACTATAAAATATAATATAAATTGTGCAGTTTATTATTTTAGAAAAAAAGTTTTGTTTTTATGATCTGTCGCTTTTAATATATGTATGTGCTTTATATTCCATGTAGGTAATAAATAACCGAACAACCTTTTATTTCAAAAAGTTAGAAAAATTATATTTCAAAGGTTAAACTCAATTTAATGTCATGAATGTAATCCATGATTAATAAATATAATTTAATTGAATCATTCATTGTGATTCTTAACCTATAATACATAAAGTTATATTCATTTTGAAGAGCTGTAAAATTGTTTTATCTCTAAACGCAATGCCTGCAGTGCCTAATTTCCAAAAAAAAAAAATATTTTTGGCAATATTTTATCTACCTTTCATGTTTATTCCTTGAATACCCTGAGAATGATAACCAGGAATAAAAAGGGAAAAAGACAAGCATTTTGTTTTCTTCTTTTGTACTTAAACTTAAACACTGTTGATAACACAGGCATGAAAAATAACCCAATGAAAAACAAAACTATTTAGTTTTACTTGATAATTCTAGTATTACAGTGAGAAAAACCGAAAATAGATTTTTCAAATAAAAAATATGTATTGCTTAAAAATAAAAGATAAGTTCTTCAGAATTGTTGCAAGTGTAAAAAAAATCTAAAAAATTCTACTGTTCTGATTTAAAGCTGCTTTAGTTTATTTCGGTGCCTTA